CAAGCTAGTCTATCAGAAGGAGAAAGCGAGGGAGTGAGATTTTAGGTTTCATTAGGGTAGACTGAAGACCAAGCCAATCTCGAAACAAAAAAGAAAACTTATTGCAACTACGAACGTGAACAGATGCTTTCTCATTAGACTATTTTAACCGATTGTTTATGTCGACCCTACGCTACGATTCTTCTTCTCTTATGAAATTTCTAGTTAGATGAACACTGCTCTGCTGCATGACGGAGTGATCTTTCCCTCTTATGAAAGCCGGTATCTCACTTTCGAAAGAGAGTCTCGACGTGGCGGTGTACACCTAGCTCCATAGCTGGGCTAGTCACTGGCTAGAGGGCGACCGACCTACCGGACCGGAGGCAGCCGAGAATGTTATGTAAAAAGGACCAAGGAGGATCCTATCCTAAAGGAGAAGGAGGAGTAGGAGGAGTCAGTTTTCTTTGAAGATCGAGGAACGTAGTGTCGGACAATTATGCCATCATGGGGATTTCCACTTTTTTGTCTACTTCCATCCGTAATACTTGGAAGAATTTTACGACTAGAAAATAAGATAAAAAAAAGACTTGAAATCCTTTTATTCCATATTGGAGTAGAAATCCTTTTATTCCATATTGGAAAAGTTATCGTGGGTCTTGTTCTGGCAAAGGTCACCTTACACTTTGGGTATCTGTTCGCGGATGACCTAACTCGTGCTGTGAATCAGTTTTACTCTCCTCCGTCGGGTGAAGGGTGGTTCAGTCAAGCGCCAACCCCGACTCCTCCACCAGAGAATTCCGGTCTGGAGCTCATTCCCGGTGCGCGAATCGAAGGGGACGGCCCAGCCCCGGGTTCGGAAGGAGAGAAACTAAAAAAGCTCCATGCCGTAGTCGAAGGGCATCTTCGGAGATACTGCGCTTCTGAGGATGGATTGAAAAGGTTCCCTTGTTTGAAAGATAAAAACAAGGAAGATTTCCAATATTTTGCGCAACATTTTTCTATTACGGAATTGGACATTGATACAAAAAGCGAAGCGGAAATCGCTTCGCTTTCTGCCTATTTGGGTCCATTTCGTAAAATAGAAACACTATTTCATATGTATTTTGACAAATACTTCGAGTCAGACTAGAGACTGAAGTAGAAGAGTAGAAGATGGCCTGAGACTGAGAGAAGGCGGCCTCTCTCGGGCTCGGGAAAGACAATTTGGCCGAGAGTGTTGTGTTATTGTTATGAGTGTTGTGTTATTGTTATGTAAGACCAAGGAGGATCCTATCCTAAAGGAGAAGGAGGAGGAGTAGGAGCTAGCCTTAGGGGCGGAATCGAATGATTACGAGATAAACAATGAGACAAAGGAGAGCACTTAGACAATTCACTTTGAGTACAGGGAAGTCTGCTGGTAGGAATTCCTCAGGGCGTATTACGGTTTTTCACCGAGGGGGTGGATCGAAGCGATTGCAGCGAAGAATTGATCTGAAACGAAGCACTTCGTCTATAGGCATTGTAGAAAGGATAGAATATGCGCCTAATCGTTCTTCTCGAATCGCTCCAGTACGATGGACCGGGGGGGGGGTCCGCCAGAGAAAATGCAACACGATAGAAGAGTTCGCTCCGCCGCGTAAGATCCTCGAATCAAAATCAACCACGACTACCCTCTGCGGTCCATTTTCGTTCTCTTCCCTGCCCGGGAAGGGGGATCAAAGAAAGGTAGCTTGCTTCTCTCCTGGACGGATGGCGACTTATGTAGTGGTCGGCCTTCCTACCAGAATGCCTTCTTGGTCGAAGAGCCCCTTTTTTACTAGTAAGGACGCAGGAAGCAAAAAAACTTGCGCGAAGGACGTTTTCTTCTCTGCCCTCTCCTCTCCAAAGGCCAAAGGAGAGACTGCATCCCTTTCCTTCGGTAGCTCTTTTGGTTTCCCAAGGATAGCGGTAGCTGGGGCAAAGCCCGCTTTCTTCGCTCCGCGAATGAGAGAGAAAGTCAGAGGAAAAAACACGTTCTCTCTTTGCGAGATCCGAAAGTGGAGAACGCATAGCATTCTATGGGTACATAGGATCAAACGTAAAGCAGCGCTCTCTTGGCAGAGTTTTAGGCGGCAAGAGACTTTAGGGCTTGTTGGAGCTTCTGAGCGTAACGAATCGAAGCCGAAGACGGATCAAGGTAGCTTGCCTGCCAAGCCGATAGGCGAAGGGCTGAAGGATGGAACGCGCAAAGTAGATCGTGCACCTGTCGTGTGACCCGTTGGTCCTAAGCAATGTCTTGCGCGAAGCGACCCACTTAGAAAAAGCCCCCCTTTATGTTAAGGGAGCACTAAAATGCAACTTCGATCGGATGCGGGTATCAAATCCCGCCGCTGAGATGTCCAGCGGATTCCTGGGCCTTGACGAATGGCCGGCCACCTTTTACGTTAGAAGAGCAAAAGGCCCAGGGCATAGCAGGATGAACCAATGTGAATGAGTGTAAGCTTCGTTGCCCGAACACGATTGGTGCTGACCACACTAGGTGCTACCGTGGTAGCAAGAGAGGCCAGGCGGTGACAATTGAGAGGTTGTCACTGAGCATTCCTAGTCACACGGGAAAAGAGGTCAAATGGCAAGGCAAGGCCATACGCCCGTTTGGCTCCTCGCGGAGTATAGCTCACATCCAAACATCTGATTGGGGAACGGGGCAACGCCCATGAAGCTCCGGCGGAAAGGGAAGGCCTGCCAGGCCGTATGCCCATGGGTGCAGGATTCTTCGAAAAAGCGCGGGCTGACTCGGAGACCTGGGACCCTGGCTTAGTAATGAATGAAGGGAAGCTCTTCGAGCTTTCTCCGCCAGCGGCTTATGTAGTGGTCGGCCTTATAAAGCTCGCTAAGCCTCGCTTCCCTCTCCCCTTCACTTATTAAGTGGAAAATAGTCGTCGGCATTCTATAAGCGACTTGACCGAGTCTACGAAGCTTTGCTTTTCTTGTAGTCGGCCCGTAATGCCTCCCTTCATTTGCTTGCCTCCTTTCAGCTCAGAATGCCTAATGCCTATTATTTAGTGCTAGAAGCTAACCGCCATAAGCTCACCCTTCAGGTCTCGCTTCCAGCGCAGGAGGCCAAGCATTCTGCCAGACGTCCCGGCCTGGGAGCCCCGTTCGCCTTTGGTACTTCAGTAGATCTTCTAAAAAAAAAAGCGCTACTTCAGCCTTAACTACAACTACATTACGCAAGCCCCGCCGATACCTACCTATAGAGTAAAATTCTAATAAAAAAGTACCAGTGACGGCGACTTTCTAGGTTTATGGATTCAGTCAGCTAAACTCCATCAAACTCCTCAATCAATATCAACAAGATGTCGTGACCGCTTAGGCTTGGTTTACTTTGGTTTGAATGTAAACTAAAATAAGCGGCGTTTATTCAAACAAAGGGAGCCGAAGGTTTCCTTGTTTAGTAGTACGAAAGTAGTTCTACTATTAAGATGTTTAATATATATAAGAAATATATAGTGTTGTAGCTGTAGAACAGAATGACGTTCGCCCTTACTTTGACTTTCTGAGAAGGACTTAAGTAGCTAAGTTTCCAAAGGCGAACACCCCCCTGTCCTTTATAGTATAGTCGTAAGGGGCTTCTCAGAAAAGTAAGGAAGAAGGCATTCGAAAGGCCGACCACTACCACTATCTCATAGGCATTCTGGTGGTAAAACCGACGACTACACGGCTCTATACCAAGTCATGAGCGATAGCGAAGCCAAGCCGCCGTCTATAGGCGAAGGGACGAAAGCCCGACGAAGGCCTATGCTACAGTAAGCAAAAAAGTAGGTTGAGGTTATGAAGTCACTTAGCCGTATACTATACAAAGGGAAAGGCGTCGGTACGGAGTCACGTCAGCTGTGGATATAGACTAGGCTATAAGGAACGGAGTCTTAAACTATGGACCGAGACTACACTAAGGAACAAGGAAGCTTGACTGAGAAAAGAAGTCAAGGAACGAAGCAGCTTCTCTAATAGCCCCGTTGAATAGGCGGGCGAAGGCTTTTTGAAAAAGTCTTTTTTTTCTTGTAAATGCATTTTTTTCTATTTAGAGAGAGGGGGCTTCAAGTTCTTAGGAAGAGCCGTACGAGACAGCTCACGTACGGTTCGGGAGCCGAGCCCCTGCGCAGGGGCTTAGGTCAACACTTATATAATAGCCAGTCATCAATTGGAGGCGGGCAAGATGGTGATGAATTGCGATTGGTCTAAACCTTCGACTAGCGACTTATTGCGGCCTGCCCAGAATGCCCATACAGACTAAGACCTTATTCACACAGCGAAGAAAGGCCGAGTGGAAGGGGGCAGTCAGCTGGCTGCTTCTTTGCCATGCGCTTTGCTTCGCTTTATTTTTTAGAAGAAAGAGACCAAATGAGAGTGAAAGGCAAGGGCAAGCGATAGAAAAGTCCCTCGCGCGAACTACTACTACTAGAAAATGGTGAGACCATTAGTGAAAGAAGGACCAAACCAAGGAGGATCCTATCCTAAAGGAGAAGGAGGAGTAGGAGGAGTCAGTTTTCTTTGAAGATCGAGGAACGTAGTGTCGGACAATTATGCCATTCGGAAGAAGTCTTCTACAGAAGAAAAGCCTGTTACGAGTAAGTGGAGAGGAAAGATCTCCAGAGATTCTTATCTCATTCCATTCCAGTGGCTCAACCAGTAACCAATGGCGAAAACTCAAAAATCCATGGTTTCCCGGTAGAACCCTATTTCGCCCAAGTTGTTTCGGAACCGGAAAAAAGAAGCGGTTTTTCGCACAGCTTGCTCATAGTGCAGGTCCCACTTGTATATCGTATTTGGCCGAAGAAGCATCGGACAGGTTGGAGTTCTTACCTTCTTGGGACTCCATGGACCAAGATCTGCTTTTATTATATGGTCAATACCGATCTACTTTAGTAGATCATATGGATGTAGAAAAAGCAACTAATTTGGATGAAATAGAAACATCTCTTTTCCATTTCTATTTACCCAGTTCATATCTTTGTTTCGTGTGTTCCTGGGAGGAATTCGATCTCGGAATACCACCTAAATAACTACGGCCAGAGAGTCAAATAGGTCGGGAAGAAAGAGTCTGAGGTCGGGTCGGACGACATACATCTTGGTTGGTTCCACCACCACTAGAGATTGGACATATATATAATCTTTCTTCTAAAAAAGGGATTCTTATATATATATTTTGAAAATAGCTGCAAGACAAAAACCGAAAGCCCTTCTTTTATTGTTGTTCCTCCCAGATACATGGCTTACATACCCGGCTCAACATTCTTGGAAAACAATCGAATCGAGGGTTCGGGAGCCTATAAGTGGAACGTTTGCTATGCTATAAGGACTGTGCGCCTACCCGGATTGGCTTCGCTATCGCTCCCGTGTAGGGGTCGGTCTATCCCAAAAAAGGGGTCCTCCTATCTGAAAGGGATTCCGAAGCGAGCGAGTTCCCTATTCCGTATCTCGGCCATCTTATCTGCAAGGGCGGCTTCCTCCGTTTCTGGTTTGCATGTCTTTCATTCTGAATTGCCTCCTTTGACTCGTGCATGCTTGCGTTTAGATAGGTTAGATACTTCTTATATTAGGAGAATTATTGTAAAGGAGTAGTAAGGGAGTGAAACCCCGATCTAATCTTACACGTGCGAGGACAGTCCTCTGAATAGAGTCCATTGCATCCCACAATAATCGACGGGCAGCCCTCGTACATTTAGCATAAACCGCTGAAAACTCGAAAGTCTGTCCACTCTGAGTGGGCAGAGCCTTATTACCTTATTAATAGGAGGGATGCAAGGAATTGATGCTACGAATGCCATAGCAAGTGAATCAGAATAAGCCCTAGCCCAGCTACTGATTGGAAAGTCTTATCGTCATCTGTATAAAGCATTTATCTACAGGTTTTTCACTTTTCATTCATTGAATGACTTGATTCCCAAAGGATGAAGGAAAACTTCTAGTGTACCCAGTTGCAGGTCATACACTATATCTTGCACACGAGATAGAAAAGTAAGAGTTCGGAGAGTTGTCTGACAACCTTCCCAGTTCCCGCTTCGGTTCCAAGAGAAAGGAAGGGGCTGATCCGATAGTGCGTGCTGGCCGGTTCGATACTATACTCCTTGCTTTCAGAGCTGGAAAGAGCGAGTGGAATAAACGAAAGGAGTTGAACGAAAAGATACGTATATCTTCGAGCTTGAAGTGAACGAACGGAATACTTGAAGTGAGTCTAACTAGTATAACGAGTAAGACAACGAGTACTAGAGCTCCCTACTCTCAGTGGACTACTTATAGGAGGATAGGGAAAAGCTGCGTGCAGTTCAAGAGAGATCGACCAAAATCAAAGGGGGGATAGAGCAAGGGCTCCACGCTCAAGGGACGGGCTATTCTACATAATACGGATAGGCGTATAGCCTTTTTCTTCTTACGATCCTATCGTTTCTGCTTCAGCGGAATATTCTGATTCGGCTTTAGCTGCTTCGTCTGTATCTTCACATTATTCAAATGATCCTGAAGCGGACCTTTCCTTTGTGTTTGTTGTAGCTCGCCCTTACTTAGCTTCCTTCCCTGAGCTAACCTCCCCTACCACGTTTCTATATGCCATTAGGAGAAGTCAGTCTGCGCAATCCGCAATCATGAACCCGGCTCTGCACTAAAGAAAGGTGCGTCTGTATTCACTTTCATTCAGAACAAGCAACGGCTGAGCTACCGCGGAAGCCTGTGTGAACAAGCACCGAACGGTGTGAACAAACACCGGCCGGCTTCTTGCCGGTGTGCGTTAGTGAAGCTAATAGTTCGGATGCGCATACGTTTTCTTGCTCCGTTTCCTTGGTACCCGAACCGGAGAACTATCCACAAGACCGCTTCATGCTCCAAACTCGAGAAGAAGCTTTCGAAGGCGCGTGTACCATTACTTGTACTTGTTATTCCACTAGTGATTTTTGGCAAGATCAATATATAGTGATCAGTTATGATTGCTCAAACTACGGTACATAGTTTCAAGTTAGGCCTTACTTCAGTCTGGTCTCCTCTCCCAGGTCTCAGCTTCAGGCTCCCACCGAAAAACGTATGAAAACGGCAAGGCAAGCAAATGCACGAACGTATTGGAGGCTTTCTCTCATAAGAATCTTATTTTCATCAGTATACGCCTGATCGGCGAGTTCAGTCACACCTATAGGTCCGCTACTTCAAAGGCATCGCCTCACTTAGATCGCCGGGGTTGGAGCTTCTTCGACCTCTAGCCATGACGCTCCTCCCTTACCTTGGGCTTCAGTAGGTTTCCTATGCTAGTGAATCAGATCTTTGGCTTTACCGTGTTACTATTCGGAGAATGGAGGTGATCTCTCTCTATCTTCAGTCAGTCATTTCTACCGGCTCCGGCTAACTTCCTTTAGGAAGGAAAGCAAGTCCCATCGATTGAGCTGTTGATGGAATAAGGGCTGCTTTCAAACCTGAAAGAGGTCCAGGTCTTGGAATCGGGCTAGGAGCAGCTATTGAATTTGTCCAGTCGAAAGGGAAAGGCGATGACTATCAGTTCTGACTCTTTTTCCAAAGGAAGCGAGTGGAATATAAGACAGCGAGTAAGGGAGTGAGTCTGTCCAAATAAGCTCTTAAGAAGCGGAGTTTCACTCGACAAAAAGGGTTTGGACTGAAACCATTCTCAGACGGAATCGACTGACTTCTAGTTGCATCGGATCTAGAGATCTGTTGCCAGTTCCGATAGAAGGAAAGGAGTAAGGTTTAGGCTTTACCCAATAGTTGTTGAACCCGAGGTTGGTAATAAACTGAAGCTGCTCAGTCTTCTAGCATAGCGGAGTGAGATATATCGAAGAATGAACTTAGCCTTCAACCACAAATGGGGTCCTTTAGGCAGCCGATTGCCCGTTTGCTTCCACTGGCTTACGTCGTGAAAACCCGTCAATGAAATAATGAAATGAAGAGAGGGGCTTTTCCCATCCTATGAGCCCTGCGAGCTCACGAGTCGTCAGTCACTCGGAGGATTTTATCGACCGGAACGCAGCGACGAAGGGCTTACCCCGAGACCTAGCATCGTCGAAGGTCAGGCTTAGGGCACGAGTTCTAAAGTGAATCATAGGGGGTCGCATATATAAATCAGGCTTGTGCAAGCAAGGGACACTTTACTTCAAGCGAATAGTGCTGCCTCGCTTTAGCTAGGCTGAGAATACGATTTCCGACATTGAACTTCAAAAGAAAGGAGGAGAAGACGATCTGCGGCTGCAAGTGTGCATGAAATAGCGCGTATATAAGAGCTGTTTGAATGGGTTGTGTCAGCCTTTTCCATGTATTGCAATTGGCAGATCACAAAAGGCAAGCAAGGCCATTTATCTTATCGTTGGATGCGCAAATCCCCTCTTCGCCCAAGGAATGCTTACCGAAGGGAAATGTTAACTACTTGAATAAGAAGACCGGAGTCTACCTTCGCATTAGGAGTTCCCTCATTTCAGATTATGTAAAGTACCCAAGGGCGTAAGCCTTTCGGCTGGTTTAAGATGATGAGAAAGAAATGAAAGCCCATTTCGGGTTGATTCGATTCCCCCGCTTGCCCAGGAAATGAGTTGCGTAGCGGTTACCTTAGGGTTAGGGAGGGAATAGCCTTTCAGTCTACTAGCAGCAATTCCATAGCTACCTGAAAACACACTTTCTTTTTTTCTTAAGCATCCCGCCTATTCCTTAATGTTAGCTCAGACACTAGGCAATAGAACGAAGTTAGTTCCTAATTCCCACAGTTTTTGCAGTGCTTCTTCTACCCATCTCGATCAAAAGCCCCTTCTTTCCTCGTCCGAGGGACTTTTTCTTTAGAATTTCTTAATAGAAAGAGGAAATCCGCTGTTCGGAAGAGAATACAGAGAATCCGCGAGGAGCTAGAAGAAGACCGTTGCTATCCGGCTATCTAGAAATTCAATGTATGAATAAAGGGGCTTTTAAGCGCTTCCCTCGTCTTAGAGCTGCGTATTCAATTCGCATCAAAAAAGTGAGAAGGATTTGCTGCCGTTTAGAAGCACAACATGATGCATATCCGCTCTTAGTACAAAGACGTGCAAGACTTTTGCCACGAAGAGCTTCTTGCTCTCTAGGCTTGAAGGCGGCAATCTAGCTTCTATTGAAACAAAACGAAGGAACTTCCGGAGTGAAGGTTCAGACTTAAGGCTAAGGCAGCGAGTGAGCCGAGGAGAGGTTGAGTGAAATCAGCAGCTAGCCTTTTCGGAATAGGAATGCCCGATGTTCTTGCTCTTCTTCAGTCTTCTTAGGATGAAGCTTTCACTGGAATTTCCTACTCTAAGTTCAGTGACCTGGCACAATCTAATTATTAATTAATAGAACCCAGAACAGGCTCAAGGCCATCTCTTCCAACATTTTCTTACTTCTATCCCTTTGAATAGCAAAGTTGCCCGCGTCTCGTAAGGCCAAGAGTTCTGTCATTCCTCTCTGTCAACTCGAAGTCTAAGGCAAGGAACTTTCAATTCCATTTTCTTTTCTTTTCATAGGCTCTTTTATTGAGACCAAATCGTTTCTTCTTTCAAAAGAGTTCCCCCCCTCCCGCTATTACTACTACAAAGAGACTAGCCGCGGCAAGAGATGAAATAGGACCGGAGTCGTTCAAAGCGAAAGAAGTTCCGATCACAGACAGCTTCTAAAAGAAGAGAAAAGAGAAGAGGGGCAAGGGCGGCAAGACCAGAGAAGGAGCTAAGACCGCTTAGGCCTTTTACTAATGCCCCCACACTAAAAGAGAGAAATCTATGTAACTTTGGATCTTAGCAGCAGTTTCCGAAAAGACTAGTAGCCCTTATTCCTTGCATCAACAGGCAATCCCGCATAAAAGAAAGGCTACTGACTTGGCTGATTCAACAAACAAGGGAAAAGGGCATCCATTCAAACAGCTCCCATTCCTATGTTGACACCAAGAAAAAGAAACCCTGGAGCCTTCCTCTCTATCCATTCCTTTTTCATAATCATAAAGGATGGAAATGCTTAGCTTACTAAACCAGCAACAGCGGAGTAAGCTCCCATATCCGTGAAGGACTGCTTTCCAGCAGAG